ACTGGTGGCCATTTTGCATTAATGAATGCAGCTCTAGTGCCATATCTCTGACATGCTTTGACTAATTATGTTCAAATTTTATATATTATATATTTATATATTTATGTATTCAAAATGGCTGATTTTATTTTAATTAATGCTGTTCCAGAGCAATATCTCTCAATACTCGTTTGACGATCAGATACAAATGTCAAACATTTTAATGTTAAACAATCATCATATTCCTGTCATGTTTATGTTCCATCTATATTACTATAAACAAAACTATATATCTTAAATTTGATAACTAACGGGGACTGTGCCATGCATGGCTTGTTTTATTTGTTTTCCTTTTTATTGAATTTTACTTAAATGTCACTTACATTTGTTCCTTCCAAATGTTTTTTGGCCTAATTCTGTGACATTTTTGGCCTGATTTCATGCATATATATTGGCTGGATTTCTTGGCTATTTCCTGGCCAAGTTTATTGGTTATTTGCTCTAACTAAGCACACATGTGTACCTTTCTACATAAGCTAAAAGTGAATATACTTGATTAGTATTATCATGCTGAGAATACAAGAGATAAGCTTGTTTTATTGACATAGTAAACAGCAATGGGATTATGCATGCATTATTGATTGGTAGGTTCAGTCAACAATGTTCCATCAATTATTGATTAGGATATATACGATTTATCAGCTACTTTGATTGTTGCAAGTCATTAATTTACTTTTGACACACACATCCATGAATATTTAATGTCACAATTGTGAATGTTTATCAACTTGCCCTATAATTTCAGATTGTTGGCAAATTAAAACAAGAACATGAAATGTACACTGGTAATTTAAACAAGTATAATCTTAATTGTTATTACTTGGTCATAAATGTACTATATGGGATCCATGTATGGAAATGACTGGATGATAGTCACAATAGATGGTGGTGCAGGACATGCAGGATTGGTCATTTGTAGTGCCTGAAGGTGGTACAGGGTATGAGTGATAGGTATCTGGTGGTGCCTAAATGGGTACAGGG